GGAAAGAAATCTGTAACATAAATCACCTGTGATATAGATTCTGGGTCTTGGTTGTGACCAGGACTGGAAGGAGAAGTATAATGTCCTAGTAGCTGTGGTTATCACAACGCTTTTCCAAAATGGGTAGGAATTATTAGCCACATTTGGAGAAGCAGAGGCATGGAAAGGTTACTTATGATTTGCCCACGGCCGCACAGCAACTCACTGACCGAGACAGGAACAGAACCCCTGCTCCCTTACTCCCTGGCCGTGGCCTTATTGGCTATATTTGCTTCAGTTCCAGTTGAAGATCATAAAAGTTGTGCCATGGTGCAATTTCAAATGCAAACAGGAAGAAGGTAATTGCTAATTTGGTATTATTTGCTTTGAATGAAGGGCACCACAAAAACATTAAAAGAAACTCACTGGAATCCAGCCCAACCATTAGACCACAGAGGTTTGGATTTATTCCTATAAAAAAAATGGAGCCTCCATACCACTTGATCTCTCCAGCTTGTGTTAACTGCTCCAACTGAAAACAATTCTGAGAAATTTGGTCTCTTGCTTCTGTTCTTGATGTTCTTCTTGATATTATCTATATGCATGCCATCTATCTACTCTACCCAAAAGTTGATGCCCTCTTATTATCATGGTATCTAAGTGCTTTTACATGAATTGAGATTCAAAATAGAAAAAAGGTGGGGACTCTGACTCAGAAGTGACATATATACGTATCTAATGGCATGGCAGTAAATTAAAGTATTATTAGTGTGAACCTAGACTGTTTGAAAAGTAGCAGACTGGAAGGTAACGTTAACGGAAGGCTGCCACAATGCCAGTTTAATGGCATGTTTGTGCCTTATCAATCTAGGAGAAAAAACTAGTTTTCAGATCTCTTTGTCATTCATTCTGTATCAGTTCCCAATAAATTGTTTCCCTCTTGGCCACGCAATCAAAATAAAAGCAGCTGACTTTTAATACAATGACATGACTAAGGAATGAAGAGCTAGTAGGGTGAAACTCTGGCTCCACTGAAGTCAAGTGAGAATTTTTGCAATTCACTATTTCACTCATAGTCGATAAATAGAAAAAGCAAAAGGAAAAAAAAAAATCCTAACCATGCCAAAGCAAACAGCTTTCCTTAGGGGATAATATTCAATATGCTTTGTTTTTCTACTATTCATTTGCTTGGTATAATAGACTTCAAAAAGAATGTAATACCTTTGGTTTCCCTAATAAACCCAGTGGATTTTAATATCTTGCTCTTTTCTGAAGTTAAATGGTCATATAATTATTTCTAAGTTTGTTCATTTTCATTTATTTTGACAGGGGCTGCACTTGAATGGGTATGGATAGAGTGCTACACTGAATTTTATGAAGCGGTCTAAAACAAAATGGCAAGAAAAATCAGTTTATAAAGGTTGCGCTGTAAACTGCTGGGCAGCAAATAAAACCCAAACTCCATCAGCCAGCACTGCAGTTCAATACATAATGACAACTTTTCCAGTTTCTTTAATTGCTTTAAAAAACTTATTTTTTGTTATCTGAATAAGCTACAGCTTTTGTCACAATATAAAAAGAAAATGTATCTTCAAGTATCAAAATGCTTTTAATTATCTCGTGTTGTATTTCTAATTTCATTATGTATGGCTTCTGCTTAATTTGAGCTCGTTTTTTCTGTTGAAAATTAAATTTCCATAAGCCTGGGAAAAACGTAGCCTCGCTTAAGAGCTTTTAGGAAAAAATGTAATCTATCAGCAAATGAGCACTTTGTTATTTGCAGTTTTTTAAATATAAATAGTCCTTCCCCAGGTACAATGAGAAAATACACTCGTTGATGTAATATCAACCACATTTTTTGGGACCCTTCCGCCCCTTCCCAAGACTTCCTGCCCTGCAGGTTCTTCCTAACGTTAGAAACGACACGGATTTATAAATGACAATGTTCTTCCACATGAGGGCACTCCTTACCATATAACCAGAAGCAAATATTTTCAATAGTCCAGAAGCAAACCAGAAGGAAGACAAAAGAAAACACAAGAGATTCAGGCCTCACCATTATCTTTTGTCCAGTGAGTAAGAGAAGCGGCTGCCACATATTTTACCCAAAAACATTCTTATTTGTCAATATTATGACTGCACACATTGAAGCTCAGCTGGCATCTAACAAATCACTCCGGGAACCATCCTGCTTACACCCACTGAGTCCAACCAGAAATTAGGACCCAAGTCTTCCAAGTAGCTCAGCGCAGCAGGTGTCCGCAGACCATGTCTAACCACAGAAGCAGACTCTGAACAAAATGCAGTTGCAGCTGCTGTTTTGTCTTAAAACACAAGTACGGGAAGAGATGGTTGCGATGGCGTCACTGCCACCCACGTTTCATGTAAAACCCTAAGGATGAGAGCACTCACCCAGGAAGTGGAAGATTCAAATTCAGTTCCTTCCTCAGCTGGGAGAGTTCAAACCCACATCTTCCAGGAAATTGCCCCAACCACCAGGCTATTTTGGATGGAGAAGCACTCCTGACTTTTCTCTCTGATGGCTGTGGCAATATAGAGCAAGAGGGTTCACTGGGCAGAGAGAGTGAAAGGAAGCAAACTCTCTGGGTTGGCAATCATGGGAATCTCACTAGGCAGAAGGAAACCTCAGTTCTAGTCCCTTTCCCAGGACTATTTATGCATTTTGCATCACACAACCATGCAGGTCCTCAGTAGGGAACAGAACATTTCCTCTGTCCTGACTGCTTCTATGACGCATGCCCTAACCACTAGCCTATAGAGACCGCTTTTTGTTTTCTTTCTGGCCCATTGAGTCTTGAATTATTTTCTGAACCCAATTATAGCTTCAGGAGGAAGGGAGGAGAGTACTGCTCACTTGGATTAACTTGTAGCCAGGTGGGCAGAGCATTCTCCCGGGAGGTGTGGGTTTGAAACCTCTCAGCTGATCTCAGGTTTCCCTCTTTCTGTGCGAGTGCTCCTGTATCACCAGGACAAACATTCTTATGGAAAACAAGAATAATGATTTCTGTAGAAAAATATGTAGGCTCCCAATTTAAGGAGTGAACTCTGAGTTATGGATGGAAGCATTACCACACTAGCTTGATTGAGACACTTACTGTCTAACTGGATTTCCACTCCCTGTGCCCAACATTTTCTATTGGCTAGCTTAGCCAGTTTTCTGCTCAGTGTGTTGGCTGTTGAGATTCCCATTCTGAACCTTAGGGACCCTTTACCATTACAGGTATTGTACAATTAACTGGTTAATTGCACAATTAACTAAAACCAGCTACATGTGCCAAGTCGCTATCACGCCACCGAATGCTCCAACCAGCTACGGTTAAACCTAAAAAATGTGTACTACCTTGATAGTGGGTTGGTTGGTATCCAGCTTTAATTTGCACAGGTAGCAGTGTCTTCCTAGTGGCTGGGAGCCCGGTCGGCTGCCTGGGCTCCCAAACCCAGGGGTGCACCATGTGCAGCCAGGGTTGGGGGTCCCAAAACATGTGGCATGACAGGAGGCTCAACTGTGTGGATTGCATATTAGATCCCATGGCGCCTTTACCTGCACATGTACAGGGGCCGCTAGGTGTCTATAGGGAGTCTAGGGATCTAATTAGGACTCTAGATTTCATCTTACAGATCAGATACTTATATCCTTTATTGGATCTAGCCCTTTTGTGGGTACCAATCATCTTTAGGTGTCACTGGGTGCATCTACACATGAGCTTTACTGTTGAGTTGACTAATGAGCTTTGCAGTAAAGCATCACCATCTACGCGTGTGCCCATTTTAGGGCGTAGCAAATTAATTAACTCTGCTGTAGAATAGTACTGTCCAGGACTGTCCTATTTTACAGCAGAGTAATTTACTCCAGCACAGTGCACATGTAGATGGTGACAGGGTCTAGCTGTGGCACAAGAGTGCTAAAGTGTAGGGGGGCTGCCTGCCAGCTAGCCCCACATTATAGCACCCTTGTGCCCCAGCCAGCCCCTCCACTATCCTTCACCACCACCTGGAGCCTGGGGTTGATCACCTGGGCTCCCTGCCAGCCCGGGGCTGCTCCACTCTGGCTCTAAGTACTGCAGTCACGGGCACATGTGCAGACACTGCACCCAGCAGCAGCTGACTCCGGTGTGAACTGCTCCAGAATTTATTGCGCTGCACTAACTGCACGTGTAGATGCACCCACTGAGTGTCGGTCTGAGAAAACCATGGTTCTAGAATTGTTTCGGCTTTTCATCTATCAAAGAATGCAACGAGCTACTGCAGAAATCAGTAGTGATCCTCAATACACAATATAACAAAAAGCAGCTTCTCAAGCATGGAAACAGTGGACTGTTGTAAGAAGCCGATGCTTTTGAACATGAACAAAGGAAGCTTACGCAAGATTTTTAGTTTTTTCCACTTCTCTTAGTTCCCCTTCTATATTTTTTTGTTTTCCTTAGGAAGGGGCTGTGTAGCTCAAAGTCATTAGGTGGCACACTGGCAGGATACATCTGATCTAATCGCTCAGTATACCAGGGGTGGGCAAAATGCGGTCCAGGGGCTGGATGCGGCCCACCAGGCCATTCTATCTGACCCATGGGGCCCCTAAAAATTTTAGAAAATTAATATTAATCTGCCCTGGGCTGCCTGTCATGCGGCCCTAGATGGCTTTCGTAAACTCAGTAAGTGGCCCTTTGACCAAAACAATTGCCCGCCCCTGGCTGTAGACTATGATACAAAAGACAAAGGCTTACCCAGACCCCCCGAAAAATCAAAGGTGCATGAAGTTGTGGCAACAAACACTCAGCTGTAGACAAATTAGGCATTAGATTTACTAAAAATAATCAGGAATGTCATTTCATAGTCGCTTTTCCCAAGAGAAGGTTTCCTCTTTAATACTGATAGCCCAGTCCTCCCATGTTTTCACATGTCAAACCCCTACAATTTCACAGAAGTCCATCAACCTCACCAGACCACATAGCTTCTGGATGATACATTTAGTAGCCTTGCATCTCTTTTACTTTGAGGGAGCAGAACGCATTCTTCTATCTAGACTTTAAAATATATCTGTCCCCTTCTGGTTTTAAGATTATTTTTTGCTTCGTCAGCATGTGATTGGACTGAGTCTGGCCTCAGTACTCATTCAGAGACTGAGCGAGGCTTAGATCTCCGTTCCTTTTTAGCATGGGATAGTTGTTTACCAACATGGCTGTAAGGGATAGATCTGAGGAGAATAATCCGCTTTAGTTTGAGAAAGCTTCAAGAAGGTTAAAAAGGTAAGCTGGTGCTTTCCGCATGTTACCCCAAAAGAACACGGAGCATTAAAGGGCAAAAAACATCTTACCATAAGTAAAGTAAGCAACTTCAGGGGGAAGGGTGACATTATTGAGGTCATCGTCCGGAACGTACTGATCTACGTATTGTTGTGCTTCGGTGGCTTTGAGAAAAGCCATGAACCTTGCAGTGAATGATGCCACAAAGATGGATAGCATGCCGAAATCCAGCAGGTTCCAAAGATGCAGGACATACTCACGAGGCCCTTCTTCCCAGATTTCTTTGCATTCTGACCATATCATCCCTGGGGAAAATAGATGTTAACATAGGATATTTGGACGTCAGATGTTCGTAATATTGTCTGTGTGTTTGCTTTAGAAGACGTGCAGTTGGAAATGGAGTATGATCAGGGGTGGAGGCGCTCATAAGAACTTCAAACAATAATCTTTAAATCATGTTTGCTGACTCCAAATTAATCTAATATTGTCAAGACAATTATTTTTGGCCATAAGCCAGTTGTAGAAAGGTAAACCTACTCTGAAAAAAATACAGTCTGGTGCCTTAAAGACCCCTTTGTCCATATAGGGTAGACTTTTCAAAAGGTCTTAACCTAAGTTGGCTCCATTCACTTAATGATGAAATGACACCTAATTTTAATGGAGGCAGACTTAAGAAGACCTCTCAGCAAGTCTGAATATTTTACCTGTAGCAAACCCATTGAAGTAAGACTCCCACAACTATTTTTGGAACAGTTATGAAATTCCAAACCATTTCTACAATGAACCCAAAGCCATCCTTTTGGATGGTTTTCAAATGTTCTCTTTATAATCCTCTCCTATACTCATCCAGGAAAGCTCATGCACACACACATGGTGATTTCAGCACACCTAGATTTCATTTGGGAAATGGAAGCAGAATCTGCCTTAATAATGCATGAAAATTATATCTAGTATTTGTGGTATAATCAGAATCAAGAAGTGCCAGACAGATTGCAATGGAGTCTGTTCCTTTTCTCTGCTAAATTGTGCATACTAAAGAAGTTTGAATAACTTCTACACATTTGAGCACTTATCCATCACCTCCATGAGTACAGGTGACTTGCAGGTGGATTGGGGACACAGTGGGCATGTCTACACATGTGCATTTACTGCGCAGTAACCCAAATTACTGCACAGTACGGGTGCGTGTCTGCATGTGCACACCCCTCCTGCACAGTAAACATGGCAACTTATACCACCTTGAGTGTGATACTTGTACTGAGGCATTATGCCGGTATCAAATTTACACCTTATTAGTTACTGTGCAGTAATGCATATGTAGATGCCTTACTGGGCAGTGTAGATGCCTAACTTTAGTCCCAAGTCAGTCCACACACAGTGTTAATGCTCTTTAATGCCTTCATATGTAGATGCTGGCCTATTCCCGCTTACTGTGCAGTGACTTACTGAGCAGTATATTTAAGGTGGCATAAATGCACATGTAGACATGCCCAGTGATAACTATGTTGGTGGTGTTTAGCAAATCAGAATTGGAGATAGGTCTGAGTTCTGACTGTGTTCGGATCAGTGACATAACTAACAGGGCTGTCACCCAGGACAAGCAGGGGTAGGGGAGGGAGTTGGTGTGTCGTTCTGAGACTGGATGCAGGGGATTGCGGGCTCTGAGACTGTGGGGCGGGCAGCAACCCTAGCCATGCTCAGTCCTGGCTGAGCTGTTTCTGGCGTACGTACTGACTGTTGCTCTTAAAGCCGCAGCAGTCAGAAACTGTCTTGGAGTTCCCTGCATAGCAATGCTTTCAGGGCACAGACTTGATGGGGTTGAGAGGGGCAATTCTGGCACCCCCTCCCAACTTGGCACCCAAGGTGAATGCTCCTTCTCATCCACCCCTCGTTATACTACTGATGCAGATCTCCTTTGTGGAATGGGGCTGGGGGAAGAGATCATTGGCCAATGTGCATCTAACAACACAATTCAGATACTCCACTAACCCCTGGCCAAATTCCAGCTGGTAGGGTCAGTGTAGGGACTTGTAGGCCCCTTGGGATATCTACAAAGATTGTTTAACATCCTAAGAAGAACTGTAAATATTTTCTTAACTGCATCAAAGTTACACACATGTTTTGTGTCCAGCCCTGTTCCCATGGCAATGGCAAAATTAATGCTTAATTCAGGAAAAGCTGGAGCAGGATATATTGGTTCCCAGGTGCCCTTCTTTGATTTTTGTCTTTTTTTCCAACTCTTTCTCTTTGCTAGAAGTTTTTGTGATGCAACGTGTAAGTGCATTTCACCGGCTACGCCTCCAGAGCCTTGTCCATGTGTACGATGGACTGCCTCAGGAGGCACAGGCTGAAGATGAAATTTTCAGTGAGAAATCAAATCACTGTGAATCTTTCCTCAGGTGGAGAATTGCAGAACTGCCAGTCTGTGCATCCAAGCTTGAGAGGTGGAAAATCAAAACCTAGCTAACATCTTAGGTTAAGGTACCCAGTCAGTGACCTCTGGAAATGAAGGTTCAGCTGTCTTTCATATCAAATGCCCATTGATTTCTATAGTGTGGGTAACAGGAGCCTACACAACTTGGCATGAAAAGGCAGGAGTGTGCCAACAATGCAACACAACTAATCATTACTCAGCTACAGTTTCACAGCTGCCTGGAGAGGTTTAACACTATACAGGCTTTAGCCAACACAATCAAGACTCCTCCTTTCAGGAATAAAATGCACCAGTTTCAATTTAATAAAACAACGGATAATAATTAGTACTACTGGCATGAGTCAGACACAGCTAGTGTACTCAGGAGTCTGTTAGCACACTGCTTGCTCATTTTTGGATGCTTCATTTCCCTGATGCTTTTTCCTTGTACTGGGCAAACCTGGAGTCCCATACTGAGATCCAGGTTATTCTCTGGTAGGGTTAAGAACAGGCAAGAAGGCTGTTAGTTTTCCTTTTGAGAGTTTTCTCCTCCCTGTTCCTCTATCAATTTGTTGGCAGAAGGCAAGGAAGGTATGACCTATTGACCTGGCAGCTACTTGAATGTCTTTGGTAGCGTGAAAACCCTCTGGAATGAGAACCTGTGTCTCAGCAGTGGCCTGGACCCCATGTGGTTGTGGCTCAGATCCTCAAAGAAGGCAAACTGCATGCTCAGGGCCACATCTGACTATGGCATTTAATATTCCTCCCCATGGCTAAGAAGCAGTTGCCTCTGGCTTAAGTAACATGCTAAGGGGAAACCTCCACGGGGTGCACAAGAAGACGGTATGCAATCTCCCTTTCACTGCTCCGTTCTCTCCACTTGCTGCCCATTCTCTCTCTCTCCATGCAGTACAATGCCTTTTGCTGGGGCCAGCAGCCGTGTGGCAAGAAGCCTCCTCATATGCTTCAGAAGGCAATGACTTAGCCTTCCCTTTTCACTTTCACGCAACAGATCTCCTGCTGATCTCAGTGGAAGTTGCAGACCATACTCACAGTTGGGTACATCTACATGTTCATTAATGTGCTGAAATTATGGTGCTTTACCTGTAATAACAGGTACTAATTTAATGCGCCGTAATTGGCACTACTGTGCATTAGCACAGATGAATGCTTTTTATGTGACACTTAATGCCCATTGGGCTAACCTACTGCACATTAGCACAGTTTTTGCCACCTGTGCTAATGTGCAGTAGAATTTGTCCAATGGGCATGAAATGTCTTGTGTAGATGCGCCCATTTAGTAGCAAGTAACCTCATAGAAGAGGGTAGCAAAACTGATTCCTAAATAATGAGATTTGCATCTGATCCAAGGGAAACAAAACAAAGCAAATATAAAAGCAACCCCCTTTTGTCCCCAGTAATTGTTGTGTGCCAATATTTAGACTGGTCCATTTTTCTGGGGAGAGGGGGTCGGTCACTGAAGAACCTCAGGAAATATTTTTATGGGTACTAGCAACCAGATTATTTTCCTGACTGACACACAGCCATGTAAATCTGGTTTAAATATTGACTAAGCCATCATAATTTATTTCTGGACTAGATTGCTTACATTACAATGAGCTGCAGGGATTTGCAGCTGGAATATGTAATGCAAAGAAAAATGTTCAAAATCAAGGAGGCTGAGTACAGTTAAAACCAGAACCACAGTGGTTATGTTAGAACATGTGGAACCTGTGTTTTGAATCAACCCCTATTGGCCAACTTGACTGCTGATCGGTTTTTTATAACTGCAATTGCAGAAAGTCCATGCAAGACAGCAGAAGAGCTGCGGCAGAAACATTGGTGCATAATGATATGTATATTCTGATGGGTGGAACCAAGCCATTGTTGTTGATAAAAATGTTTTAGACGAATGAAAATCAGATCACAGATTCAGGCTATGGAAAACAGCAGGGTGAAAGACAAAGCAAGCTCAGCAAGATGGTCAGCATGAGAATAGGGAAGAACCTACCATTAGAGCTGGTAGACCTGTTTGTGTTTCATTTGCTTTTCTTTTAATAATTTGGGGTTTGTCTGAATGTTGTGTAAAATAATAGCCGGGGGGGGGGGAAACCCCTGCCTTTAGTTCAGCTGACTACTTATTAGCTCTGTGTGTCTGTTCATCCTAGACACGTGAAACTCCTATTCATTTCCTGCCTTCGGGCGGGGGGCTGGACTTGATGATCTTCCGAGGTCCCTTCCAGCCCTAATGTCTGTGTCTATGAATCTAGGATGGGGGGATTAAATGCATGGCCTGCAGGCTGGATCCAGCCCACAGAGGCATGTCACCACACAGCTCTTGGAGGGACCAGAAATGTAGGGGGTGGATCCGATCACTGAATTCTGGGGTACAGAGACCTGCAAGGGATTCGAGTGATGGCTGTGTCAAGCTGCTTGACTCCTCAAACGACACAGCGACAGTTCACAGCACCACTGCACACCCCACCGCTGCAGGTTGGTGCCGATCTGGCCCAGGGAAGCCAAATAAACATTGACACCCCTTGATCGAAGAGGAACATTTAACCATAGTCAGAAAACACTTGAGCCCAACGTCCCATTACACCACACCTTGAGCTTTCATTCCCAGCCGCGCAAACCGGGTGGAAAACACCGTTCTGATCCGCTGGTGTTTTGTTCACCCACTTTGAAGTGACTCCACACTGACAGAAATGATTTTCTTCCAACCAAGTAATGGGAAAGCCTACCCTTTGCATGAATTTCTGCGCGCAATTTCATACAAAGGAAGTCGTAACCTGCCGAAAACCTCTCTCTCGTTCTCACTTCCCACAGTTACACTGTCCTATTTAGACAGTAATGGTGGCATCATGTGGGGCTATAAAGTTCACCCCCACTGTTGCTAATTGGGGAGGTAATAAAGAACTACCACCTTTGCCCAGCTAGAACCTGAAATTTCCTACAGAGTATTTTGCCTTCAATATGTGTATGTCTAAATCAAAATATGGTGTGGATTTCATATCTGCAGGAAGTTTTCATTGAGGTCATGATATCACAGCCCATATTCTCTCTTGGTCATGGTATAATAAATTAACAGTGTCATATTATCATGAGATGATGCTACTTTTTAAGACTCCTCATTACTGTACTGGTTGGCAGCCAGGTAACACCATTGGCCAATTTCCCAGAAAGATTTAAGGCCAGGGGACCGGTAAACTAATTACCTTAAAATGATTGGCTGAAGTCGGAACCAGCAATGCATCATCAGCATTCATCCTCACTGCCAGAGAATGAGGAAGATTGGGGAAAATAAAAACGTGAGGAGAAGGATTAAAAGCAGAGCAGCGAGAAGTAATATCCTCCTCCTTAATTGTACTGTGAATCTTATTTCTGTTGCATGCCTCCATGTCTCACTCTGGGAAGAGTAATTGCAGAATGAATTTAATACAGATGGTGGTGTGGGACCATACATACTGATGCTCATATTTAATACCTAGGTACTGAAGTTAATGTACACCTTGGCAGTCCTGCTTGCTTTCCTTTTTCAGCAGGTGTTTTTATTTTATGTGTTCCTGTATATGGGCTCTTTATCCATAATTATGGGGAAGTGTGCTCACACTAGAGAATAGACCACCCTGGACAGGCTCACAAGGTGGGTGGATCAAAACCTGATGGCATACAAGGTGCTCTACCTCAGGGGAAAAAAAACACACACCATATTTATAGGCTCAGCAATGCTACACTCACTAGCACCATGACCGAAAGAGACTTGGGGGTCATGACTGACCACAAGACGAACATGAGCCACCAATGCGATGCCACAGTTGGTAAAGCAAACAAACCCTGGCTTGCATCTACCAATGCATCTCAAGCAAAACCCAAGAAGTCATCCTCCTGCTTTACTTGGCCTTGGTGAGGCTGCATCCAGTTCTGGGCTCTGAACTTTAGAAAGGACGTGGAGAAGCTTGAGAGAGTCCAGAGGAGAGCCACGTGCACGATCAGAGGACAAGAAAGCAGGCGTATGAGGAGAAGTTGAGAGGCATGGGACTCTTCAGCCTGAAGAAGCAAAGGCTCAGGTGTGACTTGGTGGCAGCCTATAAATATATAAAGGGTGTGCAAGAACATCTGTTCACCTGGGCACTCCAAGGGAAGACAAGGTCTAATGGTCACAGACTCCTGGAAAACTGTTCTAGGCCGGACATAAGGAAAAACTTCTTTACTGTCCGAGTCCCCAGAGCCTGGAATAGACTACCCCCAGAAGTGGTGCAAGCACCTTCTCTGGACACTTTTAGAAAACACTTGGATGCCTATCTTGCTGGGATCATTTGGCCCCAGCAGACTTCCTTCCCCTTGGGCAGAGGGCTGGACCCGATGATCTTGCAAGGTCCCTTCCAGCCCTAGCGTCTATGAAATCTATGAAACAGTTTCACATAAAGAGGCAGGAGACAGGGAAGGGAAGCTTTAGAGATGAACTATCCACCATATTTCATAGTTCTTGATACAACATTTTTACACTCCTCAGATTTCCATCTAACAGCTGGGTGGATGACTGTTACTTTTAGCTATGATCAAGGGGGCACTGCCAGCTGCCTCCCTGTATACTGGAACACCTGCAAGTTCCTCAGATCAAGTTAAAATAAGGCTGGCAATTATGCAAACGGTTTCTACTAGGGTACATCTACACAGCCTGAGTAGCAGTATTTGATGGATAATGATCCTGTGACATGAGATAAAATTAAATCAGTGAAAAAAGTACAGTATCATGCCCCTGTGAGCTTTGGATAATATTATCGTTATAAATAGCCAAAAAATGTTTTCTACCCATGAACAATTTCAATGAAAACTCTCCCTCGTCACCAATGGGAAATGTCAACTTCTCAACAAAAGGCCAAATATATATTCAGTTCTTGGCAGCCAATAGCTAGAATGTTTTCAAACGAAAAACGTAAAATGTTGGAAACACCAAAAAGTTTACAGTTGAAAAGTAATGAACACAAACATTTCAGAGGCCACTTAGGATATTTTGAAAAACAAGTAAAACTGCTTTCAGATGCTGACAAAAAATTGAAAAAAGAAGACAGGAAATCAGGTATGCTGCAAAAAAAATTCAAAAGCTCGACATCCCACTGGAGACAAATTGATAGAAAAATCCCACCTATCTCTAATTATTATATTACAACAGTTCCCTTAAAAATTCAGGCTATCAGTTGAGATGCTACCTTTGATATACGAATAGCTCCACCTCAATTTTTATTCCCTGTCATAACATTAGCTGCAGATATTAAGATAGCTAAAATAAAATATTTTTAAAGGTAATTGTTGTATATGCAGAGTTGGTGGGAGTGAAACTATATTAGCATGTACAGACAGTTCTGTTATCTTTTGTGATCTGGGCTTTCTTTTTCAGAGGAAACTGGATTCTTTCCTCCCAACTGGTTGTCCACGAGATGAGGGTAGTGAAATGGAGAAAGGGATAAAATGCAGTCTAGCAAATAACTTAGGTCATGGCGTGCATGCACTTTGATACATGGGGCCTTTCTGATCCAAAGCCCACCAAAGACAAATCCTGTTGAGACTCCTCTTCTCTTCAGTGGGTTTGGGGCCAAGTCCATTTTGAAGTGTTGGGTGGCACCTTTCAGTAGGGTGAAACATATGCTTTTATTCACAGTCTTCTGCTTTGCTGTGTGTTGTGACTTGACAAGAGGTGGTTCTTTGGTTCAATGAAAAGGAGTTGCTAGAAAAGTCGGTTGCCATCACAGGCTCGTTATAGACAAATTGTCCACAATTTTCAGAAAATGGGCCCAATCGCAAATGTTAATGTGAGTATAGAGTATAAGCATGTTCTATGACAGTCACTCAACAGGGTTAAAATCCTGCCCTCTGGAGCTAGTACCAGAAGAGTACAGAGTGTCCAGTCCTAAAAATTTCCAAGCAAACAACACTAACACCCCTCAAATAGTACTAGCCAGAAAAATCTTAACAATAGAGTCACGGTTGCTTCTTGATGCCCTCATTTCCACCCAGCCCTGTTCTTTTAAAGACAATCTTGTTATTATGAGGTGTAGGATGAGGGTAATTTTGTTGTATATCATGTTACTATTACTGAAGCACTATGATATAGTGTTTAGGTAAGTGACCTCTCCAGAGAAGAAGCAGATGGCTAGCAAGTAGTGATTTTGAGAGGGCAAAGTTGCAATCAGAAAATCTCATTATACTCCGAAGCCTGTACAATGAGCCATCTTTCCTTCTTCTTGAAACCTGAAATAATTTGCCTTATACTAATGCTTTCTTCTTCCTCCCTCAAGAACTCACTCGGGCTGCCAGCCACCTGCAGCCTGCAAAAAAGAATCTCATGGCCAAAACCATCTCCTCCAAACTGTTTTAATACTGCGTCAAAAAAAAAAAAAAAGCTCACATATTATTCCGTCTACTTTCCCATCTATTCTTTTTTTCTGTATGTGATTCTGCTTATTTGAAAGCCAGAAAAAAAATGGAATGGAGACCAAAAGGTCACTCAATATAGCAGGCATCATCCAACTCTTAGGTTGCTGTAATTCCATTTACTTACATGCTGCTCTGGACCCGTTTGCCCTGATGCGAAAAACCAGGTGGAATAAAATAGGACCTTTGAAGCCAGATAAAGATTTGGCAGCGTTGATGCATTTTGCTTTCAGGAGATCTTTACAGCCAATTAGGATTAGCGGTCCAAGGTAACTGGCTTGCCCGTTATACCTATGTGGTAGGTTTTGTCCGGAGAACTTGGAACTTCCTTAAAACTCCTAGTCTGTCTATTTTGTGCCCATGTGTTCACCAATGTCAGTGCTTATCAGCATTCATCAAGGACTCAGCTAATTTCTTTGTTTCAGATGCATCCTATTGCAAAACTTCACCTGTCATTTCTTTTATACCCCTATGATGCTCTTCCCCACTGGAAAACTCCTCGGAAATTTAAAAATCACTCCCAGTTTCTGTCTAGCTCTTCTCATCATTAAATTGCAAGGAACTTTAGAAAGAGCTAAGCATCATCATCTCCATCCTGGAGACGAGGAAACAGATACAGAGAGGTGGAAGGGCTCAGTAGTGTAAGTAGGAGTGGGTGAACAGAGAACCAGACTGGTACCCCTTGGGGGATCCCATGCTATGGTGGTGGCCCATGTGCCAGGTGTTAAGACTCTCCAGAACTAGAATGCCCCACTCCCCAATCTCCAGGCCTTATTACCTGCCACCCTCTGCATGCCAAAGTTCCTAATTATGCCCCTGGAGGGACTCACCCAGCAGGTTCAATCAAGAATAGCACTCCTGAGTGCAGGTGTAATGCCCTGTCCACTGGGGCAATACTGTCCTTCAATTTAGTAGGACTCAAACTAATAGAGTTCTATAGAAATTACTCTACAACCCAGAGAATTATTGGTAAATACTAACTTTTCTACAGGGCTATTTTATCTTTTGAGTCATCTCATTGAATTTTATAGAAGATGAGTAATTTCACATTAAATGCTCCAGAGCAGCCCAGAAAACTATGTATAGAAGTTGGAATTTTCTATTAAATGTATCTTTATTTTTTTCTTATAAGGGAAAGCATTCAACAAGTGCTCTCTGGGCTGAATCAGAACATCCTTTACAATCCTTATCTCCAGACCCCAGCTGACTTCCTGCCTTTCGGGGGGGGGGGGGAAGGGCTGGACTCGATGATCTTCCAAGGTCCCTTCCAGCCCTAATGACTATGAAATCTATGAATTAAATTATGTTTTTGCTATTGGCTTCAATGGGCCCAAAATCAGGCTCCATCTTTTTTTATTCTTTGGCTGATCAGCATCTATAATGTTTCATTTATCTCCAGTTATTTTGCACTTCTCTGGTATATTAACAGACATTTTGATTTTGCTTACCTAATACCCACTTCATGATAAGCAGTTCTGTCCAGGAGAACTGAGTTGTTTTCACTCTAAATATTTGTTTGGGATGATCCGTGATGGTCTCATTTGGAAGGTTTTTGACCCCTTCAAATCGATCTGAGGCATTCACTACTAACAGTCCAAGGAAGATTGTGAAAGAAACTGCATGTGCCACAAATTTCATGAAAGGACTTCGGAGTGTCCGTCCCAGCTGAAAATGAAACATATATAAGACGCAATTATTTTTATTTTCTGGTCTGTTTATCATATTCCCTAGCATTTTACTCTAAAAAAGATGAGCTCATTTACACCTGGTAATGTCACTGATTACTCTGGGACATCACTACAGCTCAGGTGCTACAGCAGGTTTGCACTTGTTCAGTCACAAAAAATAAGGGTCCTTTCATGTGTTTTCTACCAGCATTGGGATGCTAAATGCTTCTTTTACCACCCACCAATATTTGTGTGACATGCCATTTTCATATTTGTGCCATCAGAGATGAAAGAAATGGTAAAAGTATGACTAGTGAAATTTAGGGTATTATGGGCCCCTGATTCCCTCTTCTCCCATATACCAGTCTAAATTGGCATACAGCAGTGATGACATTAGCACAACATTCTGCTAGTTGGTTATTAGGGCTGTGCGAAGCTTTGGTAGCTGATTCGATTTGGAGGAGATTCGGCCCGATTCGGGGACAGAATCTCTGAATCTGAATCGAATCAGGAGACAATTAAAAGCTCTGAATCAATTGAAGCATCTGAATCGATTTGGAAAAGCTTCAGAAAAGATGTGGCCGCTTCAGAGATTCGGCCATAGACTAAACAGGCAGCTGACAGCTGCCTCCAGCTGGTAAGTCTGTTGGGGTTGGGAGAGGGGAGAGGGAAGGGGTGTGGGGGAGGGAGGGATTGGGGTTGGGACAAGCTGCCCAGCTGCGGCAGGGGGTTGCATTCCTTGGGGGGCATGGGATGAGGGCGCGGCAGCACTGGGAGCAGGGGCTTTGCCCTGCTGCCATTTGTCCAGCTGGGGGGGGAGAGGGGGGGAGTGGGATGTGAGCATGGCTCACTCCAGGCAGAAGAGGGCAAGGGATCAGGACCTCTAAGGGCTTGTGGCAGAGTTCCCCATGCAGCGTGGGGCAGCGGGGATTGCCCCCCTGCCTGGCACCCGTGCAGCAGCTGTCTCATTGCACGGGTGCAACACAGCTCATCAGGGCACCGCACACTGTCTGGGAGCTGGGGTGGCTCCACCTGTCAGCTGGAGCCTGGCAGTGCTCAGCCCCAGCTCCAAGGCAGTGCACAGTGCCCTGCCAAGCAACACTGCAACCATGCCATGGCTCATCTGCCGCACGGGTGCCAGGTGGAGAGGGCAATCCACGCTGCTCTCCACTACCCCACACTGCCCCACACTGCATGAGGGAGCTCTGTCATGAGCACCCAGAGGCCCTGATCCCTGCTGCTGTAGCCAGAGAGTGCAGGGCTTTTATTTTATTTTTTAAGTGCTGGGAGGCTGGGGCTGGGCGGGGGATGGGGCCAGGCAGGGCAGCTATGGAGGCTTCTCCCATGGCTCCCCCAACCTGGGGAGTGGCAGGCACAGCCATGGGAGAACCTGCAGCTGCCCAGCTGTGCCTGCCTCTCCACAGCCGATCTGGATCACCGAATCTCTCTGAATCAGCGCCGAATCTTCTGAAGCCAATTCAGTTGATTCAGGACAATGATCTGAATCTCCAAATTGAATCACTATCTTCCGAATTGGCTGAATCCAAATCCAAACTGCATACTTCCCTACTCGCACAGGCCTATTGGTTATCTAGCAAAACCCTCATTAATAGCTTGTTTGACACATTTTATTTAAAAGCTTCTTTAGTAATGCTCTCTTAATACGTACCAGTCTGATAATTATCTAGTGCAATTACAAGAGCAGCTACAAAGTTACCCAGTAAAACGTAAGGACTTCAAAGCAATACATGCGTAAGTGATAGAGGGCTGATCTGAGCTATGCTCTCTTCTTGCAGCATTTGTCTTATCCTTATTCAGAAGCACTGCTTAGCTGTTAAATTAAATGCTGCTTATCTCATTATGTATTTTCCCTGATTTAAGAATACATTATTCTTAAAGAATATGACAGAGTTGGTAGAGTTTTTATTTTCTTTTGGATCAATGCCATCATGGAGTGTAACCCATTCTACAAATGCCTTCTTCTCATGTATAGGGCCTACCATGCATTAGAAATATCCATAGTGTGGTCTTACCCATCAATGACTCTCACACATGATGAATTATGCTCCAACCCTTCCTATGTATCCAATGCTTTGATTAATTAAAACAAAATATATGGAGGAAAGGTTCAGGTTCCCCTTGCTATTAATTAATCAACCCCTCAAGAAAGACCTACCTCTTTGAAAAAAGAGTTTAAGCCTACCTACTTCTTCCTTCTGTATCAAATTTGTAAAAGAAATTTACTGGACAACACATGAGTTTGCTCTTTTTCTCTTTCTTGTCTGATTTTTTTAAAATGGGAAATCTTTTACATGATTGCTAGAGCAGTTAAACTTACTGGAAAACATAGGTGAGATTAATTCCTGGAAAATTTGTCACTATGTGTAAGTGGAAAACTATGATCCATGTCTGAGCCTCAAATCAGTGAAGCACTTAAATATATTCATAAGTCCCAGTGACGTGAATGAAAAATGCTTAAATACTTCAGTGCTTTGTTGAACTGAGGCCTGAATTACTACAGCAAAATACAGCTTTGTCTAAGTGAAGGCATCTTTTAAAAAAAATCCCATCATTTCTTCTACTGGTTCTTCTGCCCTATGCAGTGAGTGTAGAGACAGCTGAAGTTCTACAGATGGTACCATGCAGATGTGTTGTACAAGGGTTTAGCATGAAGCTTTGTCTACATTATCAGTCCCACTATTGCCCTTGGACATTCTTCTAATGCAGGCTGTCACTTTCCATACTAATGCCATTAAGTTAAGGAAACCATAATTAAGAATGAGTGAAGCCTTCAGGTAACTATGGACATATGGGTCATTGACTAGAAGTTGTTAAGAAAACATATTTTTGACTTATACATGCCCAGTTCTATGCTGAATTCATTCCATGGGGAAAAGAGAGTTTGAATGGACTATTGATTGCTACCTAGCTGCTGGGGGCAAGGACTTTTGTGGGTGATATATTTTATTGGACCAACTGCATGGCTGGGATAGACTTAGACAATAAAAGGTATCACCCACAAAAATCCTTGCCTCACACATATTTCTTGGACCATCACAGACGTAACATCACTATAATACCACCTAAGGCATAGGTGCTCTTTTCTGCCAATTTATACTTTATAAAATAGAGACCTGTAATTTATAATATTCAAATTGCATAGTCTGGATGATCACAGAAACAACCCTGAGCTATTACAGAAGAAAACAAACTCTGTGGATATTATCATTTTGTTCTCTCCCAATATCATAAATTCTGCATTTGCTCAGCGTTACATCCATACTTTATCCTCTGTGGCCACGTCTATACTTGCGGCAGACTGCACAGTTGTTACTTGCTTATGCAAATACTAAACGATTGTGCAGTAACCCATGTTACTGTGCAGTACCGTCGCTGCACATTTTTTTCCCCAATGCTACTGTGCAGCAGCAACAAGCTATGGTGCAGTAGCTCATTACTACTGTGCAGTAGCATCGCGTCACAGTTAGTGCCTGGCAATGGTACCGCGCTGTAGCATCTGATGTTACTCAGGAGAGCTTAGCATTTATTTCTTTTTTTTCTGATCTTCACAGAAATCTAATTTTTAACTAAGTGGTGAAAGCGGTGACTGGGAGATTTTGTGAAAAATGAATGAAGCATCGGTTCTTTCAGATAACATACTGCCTTACGACAATAAAAGATGATTTTTTTTGTTTTATTTTCTTAAATTATGTTCTAATTATACCTGCGTGCAGAGCTACTTGTGCATACTATTTGACAATTACCTAAATAATTCACAATAGTATGTGTCATCTGAAAAAGAAGGCAAAGCAATGCTTGATCGTGATTGATAACATGACAGTAACAATTACAGAATACAAACAGCAAAGATCTATTTTTAAAAGAAAAAATTGTTTCAGGATCTAACATTCCTTATGTATTACTGAAGAAGAATAAAGTAAGCAGATATATGAGCAAAAACAAACCATGAAAAGGCCATAGGAGAAAGGAAGGGTTTCAAGATAGAAATTCATCTGAATCAAGGAGGACGGGAACACGTGAAGGAAGAAACAGTTTAAGGAAAAGTGTAGACGAGGGGTGTTAAATGTCTGATCCATGGGGCTTGTATTGGGGTCAGGAACTCAGAGGCAGGGAGAGAGAGGAAAGGGCTCAACACTGAAATCCCTGGCGTGGAGTCCCACTGCCACTTGCCCTGCTGCTGCCACCACGTCTGAGTCTGGCCTGCGAGGAGCAAAATGTTCCAGATGCAGCCGGAGGGGGAGGGCAAATTTGACACCCTTCATGTGTAGACTATTCTTTCTTTTTCCAGCATTACTAGGGATCTAGTTGAACAAGAGCAGGTGTGGTCATCAGGAGAAAAATAAAACTCCCTAGAATAAAAACACTAAGCTAGACTACAGCCAGGATGCTGGTGATTGAGGCTGTGGGCCTTCATTTACAATGCAGAATGTGTGAAAAGCATGTCGCTGTTTGTACAAGGGAAGGAGTTTCTAAATTAGCCATGGTAGCATTCAGAATTGAGTTAGGTGCCACCTCAGTTCAGCTAGGAACAAAGGAATGACCTTACTTCCGTAAGCCTTGCACGCAGCCCACTGTCCTCCTGCTCACAGTGGCATCAAAATGAGTATGTCTTGATCTTCATCCATCTGGCCTCTGGTCTTTCACTTCCTTAGATCTTCAAATGTTCAATAATTTTGACATATGAGGTGCAACTACACATGCTATTATTGGGATGCAATAAACTCTTGCGCAATTTGCCCCGGAGTCAGCTGCTCCTGGGTGCAGAATTTACATGTGCAGACAGGTCCACAGCAATCTGAGCCACAGTGGAGCTGCCCCAAGTTGGCAGAGGGTTGTCAGAACTAACTATATACGGCTGGCCTAATAAAAGATAACATAAAAAGCCCTTCCTTCTTGCACATTTCCCGGACCATCGTGGCACTGACAATACTCTAGCCCTGCTATATTACAGTAAGTCTTTCCGGATTTGTAAAGTTCTGCAGTGTTTTTTGCAATACCCCCTTACAGGAGTCATGTTCATACGGGAGTCGAGGTTCATTCAACCTTGATGAGCAAAAAGCAAAATGCAGAACAATTAGCTCTAATTCTACTTACTATCTCCTTCATACTAAAGGATCTAGCTACAACTGCAGCAAGCTGCAGATATAGCTATAGCCAAGCCGGCTACAGCTCCCCTTTGTGTCACAGCAGCAAAATAGAAGAGGAGGAATAGTCACTGCAGCACAACTTCAGTTCTTATTTCCCCAAGTTTCTAGCTCCAGGTAAAAAATTCTATGAGGAACAAAACCCTTTCAGCCTGTGGAAGAGAGCTCTGAGCCTTGAGGACCCATCCTGGAGATGGCTAGTTCAAAAACAGAGGCCTCCAAAGGTTCTGGTCCCTTCAGGGACTGCAGTAAGCACCTGCTGAGAGAAGGTTAAGGGAGTGAGGAATGAGGGCACAACTTGAGCCTTGAGGGGTCCTTATGCCTTGCAGAGACATCATAGAGCTGAGCTACTATCCTCGTCCAAGTTTCCTTTTCAGGGTAATGAGGCTCTGCAGCTGCAGGCAAAATCATTCAGGAGCCACCAGGACACGCCCATGCTTCCTTGGTGTTCCTGAGTCCCAGAGTCCAGCTTTCCTTCAGTTGTGCCTCTAAGCATACTACTATTCAGAACCCTAGGCGATGCGTTGGGGGGGCACATGCCCCCCCTGACAGGGCCGTCCCTGCCACCACCGCCAGCATCTTCAGTGCTCACCAGCCCTATCCCCACCGCTGATGCTGCCAGCAGCATCTGCGGGTGCTCACCAGTCCTGTCTTCACCACTGCCAGCAGCATCTGCGGGTGCTTGCCAATCCCGTCCCTGATGCCACCGGCAGCGTCTGCGGGTGCTCTCCAGTCCCGTCCCTACTACTGACACCACCAGCAGCATCTGTGGGTGCTTGCCAGTCCCATCCCCACCCCTGACATCGCCACCAGCTTCTGCAGGTGCCCCGCCAGACTCTGGAGGCACCAGTTGCCCATGCCTCTAAGCATCTACCACAGAGGGAAGATTCAGGTATAACTTTGACCTAGCTAACAAGTCCTTTTCATAAGATGAAGAGCATCACTGGATTTTTCAGAGCACCTGAGCACCACCTAGGAACCCTGCCCAAATCTCTCCATCTCCTTAGTGGGTACTATGATTGTCTAAAAGTCCACAAGGACACTGACCATCTGTGATGTGATGGGAGGCATGTGTGCCAAGAACCAGATCTTGGATCTAATAGCCATAATTTTGGGTGGCGTGGAAGAACAGTTAGAAATTATGTGCATTAGATTCATCTATTTATGTGTTATGGAACCATGCAGAGGCCTCAGGCAAAAAGCAGTGCTAATCCCTTCATTAAAAAAACACAATTAAAACAAATCCCTGCCTGCAGAGTCTCACAGTTTAAATTTGTGATATGATGCAGCATGTGAATCTGGCAAACTCTAGGATGAAAAGAGGGGAGGAAGAACTAAAGTGTCTGTGATAAGAGAGTGAGGTTGCCTGGAGTAGTTAGTGCCTTACGTAGTAATTTTGAAATCAGTGGGTGCATCTACATGTGCATTTTAATACGCAGTAGACTATTTTACTCCAAATTTTAAAGCATCATGTAAAAAACTGTCTGTGACCTTACTTTAATGCTCAGTAAAATAGTCTACTATGCATTAAGCATCACTAAAAAAGTGTGCAAATGCACTACAGCACATTAGTACAGCCTAATGGGCATTAATTTAGTACCTCACATTGGAGGTACTAAATAAAATGTGCATTAGAAAAGGCCATTACTGCTCATGTAGATGTGCCCAGTGGGTGTGTCTACACTTGTACTTTAATGTGTATTATCCTATTTTAATGCACATTAAAGCATCATGAAAAACCATGCGCTTTCACAAATGCATGCTAAAATAGACTAATGCAGCTTTTTCTAGTAACCTTACGATGGATGAACCAAATTTAATGTTCATTATCAAAAGCACATTAATGAACATGTAGACAATGCCAGTTAAAAGGTAGCCATATTCAGTTCCCCTCCCCTTTTTCAATGAAATACATGGGCTTAAGCATACTTTATAAAATAGCCATCACTTTTAAATCATTGCCTATGCCCTATTTCCATTTTAAAATTAGCCTCTGTTTTGAAGTCGTGCTCTCAGCTTCATTGCACTTTTAAAAATTGTATTTTAAATGTCTGCATACGTGTTATTTATAGAAATAATTGATCTACCTGCTAATATAAGTTGCCAGCCTCTGCCTGTTTATAACCAAGAATATACAAAGTGATCCTCTATTCTTGCAAAAACTGAAGCATATGCTTAAGTTTACAGAGGGCATGCATCTACACATGTATTTATGCTGGCTTAAATTTACTGCACGGTAATTACTTTGCAGTAAGCAGGAATAGGTCAGCGTCTACATGGGCAGGCAATAAAGCGCATCAATGCTGTGTGTGGACTGACTTGGGACTAAAGTTAGTCCCAAGTCAGTCCACACACATAGTGTTACTGTGCAATAAGGCGTCTACATGTGCATTTCAACACAGTAACTAATTGGGAGTAAATTAGATACATGCAAGATGCAGGTATCAATTTTCCACTCAAGTCGGCATAAGTTGCCATATTTACTGCATAGTACAGGCGTGCACATGTAGACATGCATGCATACTGCACAGTCATTTTTGTTACTGGGCACTAAATGTGCATGTTTAGATGTACCCAGAGGTCAGTCGTTCCATTCAATGCAGTAGCTATAAAAGTAACTGCATAGTTTTAAAGCAAGCTCAGGTGTCTCTTTTGGATTGGGGCCTACTATAATAAAGCTGGCACAATCATTCCAGTTGCCCATTTGCTCTTGAAATGTTTTATTTGCTTTTAACATGCAGGAAAGCATCATTATAAATTAAGACTCTAAAGGAAAGTTGTTTTAATGGATACTAATGAGTCATTATAAGCTGAACCCCTTGAAAAAACAAGATTCGCATTTTCAATTAACGTGAGAAATAGAGGTTAGTCTTGGTTATTTTGAAGGATGCTGGGTTTTAAACATCACTTATAATCTCATCTATTCTAGAAGCCCATCTGTTTTCCAGACGATTAGTCTTAAAATTAATCTTTTCAAATTATAGTCTCTCCTTAATGCACACCAATGGGTCAGTCATTTCTTGGGTTTAGCAAATTTAGGAAGGATTCTTTACAGACATTGAAAGCATATGAGACAAAATGTTTTAAGGACTGAGTAAGCTAGCAATCCAGGGGTCATTACTGTCACTTTTTTGTGCATTTCATAATCACTTTGTTAAAGACACTTTCTAATGGTTAATATGGGCAACTGTTGTTCATGAAGAAATGTTCTATTTTTTTGTCCGAAGTAGTGGAAAAAACACTATTTATTGCTCACCAAGCAGCCATTTATTTCCACCTCTCTGAGCACTTTCTCTTAGGATGGAAACCCACCACAGAATTGTTACAGCAGATAATCGTTAGTGTTACTGGCCTCCCAATGGCTGGCTCTGGTCCCTTCACCTCTAAGTCTTAATAAAACTTTTAGCAGCACTTAACTCTGTCAGTCACCCGCTGTCCATAATGGAAATGGAGCAACTTTTAATATTGTTTAAACTTTGCCTCCATGATTTGGAGACTGGGCTGTATTTTGCTATTGGGTATGATGACTCGCTTTATTCTTCATCTTGACAAGTTACAATTCAACACGGGTTGAATTGTTACTTCATTTTCCCTGCCTCCCGTGATGCCCGCTAGCTACAAATAAAGACAAGAGAAACAAAGAGAAGAAGAGAGAGGCCAGAAAGGTCCAATGCAGAGAGGAGGAACCCCTCCCCATGCCCATCCACACCCAATACAAAATGGAAAGAGAAAAAAATACTGATAGGATCCTTTCCCTTTATTTACCTGCCTTTTCTCCATCTCACTCATACTTTCTCACATCCTTCCCACTGCATCCTAATTCCATTCATGCCTTCTTATATTTTCTAATCTCCTTCCCCATCTTTATTACTCTTAAAAGACAAACTGCAAAAGACTCCCTCTTACTGCCCTAAAACTCTCCCAGAGCTTGCTGTGTGGAAAAACCACAGAGCACATTCATTTAGGGGGGAGAAACAGTTTTGCCTTCAGTCCAAGACACCGGGCATTAATCACCATAGGCAAGATGCACCTTAGCCAGTCTGTACCTTACTGCAGGGGGCAATCCAGTACGCTATGGCGAGGAAAGGCAGGCCAATGGAGACTCCAAAGACAGCCAGGAATTTCACAGCGATAGACTGCTGCCGTAAGCCTGAGAGGTTTTCGTACCACAGGGTGAGCAACTGCTGCTGGCAATTGGGATGAGCGACAAACTGTAAAGAAAGAAAATAATTAATTAATAAAAGCATTGGTAGCTGTGCCTGATGATTAGGAGATTTCAGGAGGGGGCTGCTATGCGGGGTAGAGACGCGCCGTGGGTTGTACCTCATTTCTCTGCCTACCAGAGCCAGACACGTTTCATTCTGTTTAATCAGCCACAGTTTATGCCACAGCTGTTTAGAGAATTGTAAATCGGTCTCTCTCAGCTGGCAGCCACCGGCACCACGTGTTCAATCAATCTCTTCTGTTCCCCGTCTCTTCTAGGAATACATGTGGGTGTCCCAGATCAGGCCAGTGACGTATCTAATCTAAAATCCTGGCTCTCACAGTGGCCAAAACAAATCTGATGCGAGGGGTTGAATTTGAACCTGCGGCTGCAGGAAAACCTGTGGATTTGGCACAGCTGGAAAGA